CTAGAGTATATGTTATTGATCGCACAAATAAAACAGATCCATTATCTTATTACTTAGAAACCATTATCTTCTTCCTTCTTTGGATATTATAGTGCAATCATTGAGAAAGAACGGATCTTTCAAATCTTTTGAATATTGTCTGCACAATCAAAGAAGGAAGTCCCTAGGGTATTCAAGCCTTTATTTTAAGGCACTTATACACTGAAAGCAACTGACAAACAATTGTTAACAATGCCTATGATTACTTTGTTAGCTCCTAAAACTTCAATAAGTTGTGTTGTTTTCAATACAAAGACTTGAAAAAACACGGTGTATTGCGGTTTAAGGTTCAACAGTGAGAGCYGGACGGCACTGTGTAATTAGGAACGAATTACTTAGACTTGAAATGAAGCCCAGTCCGAGTTGCAGTTATTTGAAAGAATTCGGACACATTCATTATTGGCCAGAGAAAAATGAGAACACAAGATTTATATGGATTATAGCATCTTTATTGATGATTTAAGGTTTACACTTATTCAGTTCCCAGACGCTCATCTGAAAGAAAAACTATTCAATTTTATGCCATGCCCACCGAGCTCATTTCATTGCATTTAAAAAACGCTACCTTCCGTAAACTCATATCAGAAACTTAATAGTCAAATAGTTTTAGACGTCCCATTAAACAGGAGGATCGGGGGATCAATTCCTGAAATTGTCATGTATCAACAACGTTAAAAACTGATTTAATTCTATACCGTAGCTGGACATGTAAGCTGAGACAAAAGAAGGGGAACATAATGAAAATTACATGCTATTAAATGACATAGAACAAAGCAAAATCATTATTAAAATTTAGTCTTAAAACAAGTGGACGATAAACAATTGCTGACGCACTTTGCTGTTATTGTTTCTTTTTTTGTTTTTTTGTCATTCAAATCTGGTTCAGTTATAACCTCTTTTACTTCCTAAATAGGCTAATAGTTGCTAACTATTTTGATTTTATGTGTCTGCAGCACTGTTACTGTCATGTTTTAACCTCGCTAAATGAAGTTTAAGTATAGGATAATGGATCAGATCCGAGGCTTCTTGAAAGTAAATATCGAGCGCGCAGAGNAAATGCCGTAATGATCCTGCAACTTAGAAGTTCTCTTGAGAACAATAATAACAATTCGCCAACTTGGCCTCTAAAGAATATCACGTGATCAGTGAACATCCAGAATGACATGACTTTTTGTTGTAAACAAATTAGGCGCGTTGGAGTACGCAAATTCATAAATTGCATCAATCGCCACAAAAACCGTTTGTGCATTATTCTAGTTTAAGGAATTATCAACAATACAAAACGCACATTGTGTTCATTGGGACGATATTATGAAAACTAGTCCTTAGTGCTGGTTCACAGTGAGACATAAGCATAAGCTCCAAAATCAAAAGATTCAGGCGCTAAGAAGACAAAAGGAAGGTRCTTTTCTTTATCTATTCTTTTGTCTTTAATCGGCTTATACTTTACCTTATRATAGTTGCTATTAACAATACACCTTTGACTTTATTCCTTTGTCTTTTCACACTTTGTTTTAAATTCACGTTTATATGCTTATGTCGTAGTTTGCGTCCCTTAGAGAGATTTGAGAAATAGCCAGAAGAATGTTGTACAAGCATCACATAATGTCTCTTAACTAAGATGTCAGTGTTCAACTACAGTTTCAACTTTGAAGATAACACTGTGATAATTTACACTAATTGATACTATTATTTAGTAATATTATTATCATTATTACTAACTGAAAACATAGACAAAGTGATAAAGTTAGAAAAATCTAGATTGAAGGTAATTCCAAATCCTCACTTTATCACTCCTATAACACACGTAGTTAAGGTGTGTTAAAGTGAGCATTTGTAAAATAGCTGGTTTAATGAACTTGAACTTAGTTCTAACTTCACTACATATACCGAGTGCGGTACAGTATCATAGTCTACCTAGTGCAATAGTGTACCTAGTGCGGTACAGTATCATAGTGTACCTAGTGCGATAGTGTAACATGTCCGGTACAGTATCATTATCTACCTATAGTGGGATATTGTACCGTGTGCGGTACAGTATCATAGTCTACCTAGTGCGATAGTGTACCGTGTGCGGTACAGTATCATAGTCTACCTAGTGCGATAGTGTACCTAGTTCGGTACAGTATCATAGTCTATCTAGTGTGATAGTGTACCTAGTGCAGTACAGTATCATAGTCTACCTATTGACATAGTGTACCGTGTGCGGTACAGTATCATAGTCTACCTAGTGCGATAGTGTACCGTGTGTGTTTGAAAGTAACTCCAAATCCTCACTTTAACACACCTATAACACACGTTAGTTAAGGTGTGTTAAAGCGAGCACTTGTAAAATAGCTACAAGGGTGATGTACAAACACCACATAATATGTCTCTTGACTAAGATGTCAGTGTTCAACTACAGTTTCAACTTTGAAGCTAAACTGATAATTTACTCAAATTAATATTATTATTTATAAAACTCATTAATATTCATAAGGCAAAACACAATAGAAATCATAGCCCATGAAGAGAGTTGTATATTACATACAGATTCTTGTTCATTTGCATAAACCTTAAACTCTGATTTTCTCGGTCAGATTGAATTCTTTGTTAAGASATACTATGTGGTGTTTGTACATCACCCTTCTAGCTATTTTTCAAAACCTCACTTTAACACACCTATTGACAAGTTTATTGTTAATCATGGCGATACTTTATTTATTGGAATTTATTTTTGTGAATGATATTTGACAGACAGTGAAGGTTAGCGATTAGTCGCTAAATAAAGGAAAGATATTGCGGTGCACCATTAAAATTGAACTGCAAACAAAACTAAGGTATTCTACGCCATAATTTACTTTCATATATAGTTATGTCATGGTCACAATATTCGTTGGAGATGCCGATTTTATCTTATTGTATTGAAAATCTTTTGCTCTTGGTGTATTCCCGCAACCATGTAATATCCAGGTCTTTCTCAATTTTCCAAAAATGCTAGCCCGCCTCACGCTTTACAAGCGTCTAGTTGTAGTTTCAGAATATCCCTTCAAACTAAGCG